CCCTAGCTTGGTTTGGTCAGGTGAGGAAAGTAACTAATAATGGAACTGTGTCATATTCTGTCAAAGACTCCTTTGATTGGTTGGTGGTTGGGTTGGTGGGTTGGGTTGGTTTGGTTTGGTTTAGTTTGGTTTTTGAGACAGTCTCACTCTTTAGCCTTGACTGGCTTGGAACTCACTCTGTAGACCAGGCTAGCTCCAATTCTCAGAGATCTTCCTGCCGCTGCCTCCCAAGTGCTTGAGATTAAAGGCATGAGAGACTCGGTTCTTAAATTTATGGTTGGCTACACTGAACCATTGACAGTGTGGTCCAGCAAAGTCCTTGGAACCTTTAAAATCTGCCATTTTCCCCATCTGGATGATGTTTATCTTTGGGATGGGGTGCAGTCCCTTCTCCATTGTTGGGATAGTTCTGGAGACTGCCAGGTCTTCACACCTCATTCTTATTTCCTAGATGTTTTCTCTGGGCTTTCCAGTGGTAGGAACATGGTCCACAGCCCCAAGGACAGATGTGTGGCCCTTCCTTTGGGGCCACTACCTACTTTCTTAAAATGACACCTGGATTCTCTCAGGTCACAGGCAACCTGTCCTGCATTCTGGTCCTCCTGACCCTGTTCTGGATCCATAGGCCAAATTGTGGCTGGTTTTGTGTTTGCTTTAGATGAATGACCAGGGAAGGAACTGATTATGATTGAGGGGGTGGAGGGGAGAAGGTTCAAACAGCAATGACAATGTCCCAGGTCCTCATTTCCTTTAAGACAGAAAAGATTGCAAGAGGGAGTGTTTTGGAAAGGGTGACCCAAACATGTAGCTGGTAAGCAGTCTAATTATAGGTCCAAGGGGTTGGATCACCTAATGAGCCTTTGCTCACCTGTGCTGGCCTCTGGAAACCCGTACAGACTCCCATAGTCACCTCCTGAAGTGCTGCTGGTGAGGGTGACCTGCCTGTTCATCAAGTTTCCATGCATAAGCCAGTGGGACCTCCTGGTCTTCAAAGCTACAGGTACCAACAGAGGGCACCCCTTGTGGTAGGTGGTAACCAGATAGATGTTTCTGCGTGTGCTGAACCAGGCCAAGGCCATAAACTCTTGCAGAAGGCCTTCTGCTTTTTGAACTGTTAGCATTTCTTTTGATTGAAGTGGAATAATTTATAGCTTGCTTCATTTTGTTTGGGACTGGGGAGGAATCCAGCTATACCCTCTCCTCTCTGGGTCAGTTCTTAAGTTGTTTTCTTGGGAAAGCATGGCATGGTTGATTTCCATACCCCAGCTTCCTCCTCCCTCTTTGATTCTTCTTTCCTTGTGTGACTCCTCAGACTCTGTGTTCCTGCCTGAGCCAGTTTGTGGGCAACATTATGAAGATTAGTCATTTGTCCCTGTGGTATACGTAAGCTTTATACTGAGTCAATCAGTGTCTTTGTTTCTTAATTGGGGACTAATATGTTGTTTATAGCATGTAGGTCATCTGGGCAGGTATAGAGTAATTTGGAGATCAAGGAACATCCTACACTTCTAAAGGAATATATATATATATATATGTGTGTGTGTGTGTGTATGCATATACATATGTATATGCATATATCAATGCATTTAGTTTGTTCTCTATCAGGAAATTGGATGGCTTAAGGCATTTAGATGGACTTCAATATAACTTTTAGTTACTGGCAATAAAGTCTATTTCCAAAGGTTTTATGAAACAAATCTCTCTGGTATTTGAAAGAACTTACACAAAGACTCTGCGTTTGTGGGGGTGGCTTGCACTTTGGGGTGTTGTGAGGTATATTGGGGTCCTTCTCCCACGCTGAAGTGCCTGTAGTCACATGTATACTCTAGTATCTGCTGAGTTAGGGGAGCAGCCTGCTCATGGGTGGTGACAGACTCTGGAAAATCAGCATGTGTGATCAGTGGCTGGGAACAGCTCACCCTGTGACCTGAGAATTTGATACCAGCCAAGCACACTGCAAGGTCAGGTTCCACAAAGAAATGCCTCCTGGTGCAGTAGACATAGGGCAGCAGCTCTCAGGCACCACAAAGCCTTAAAGGAGCCCATTTCTGTCTGTGTCCAGGTTTCTTGTGCCAAGACATGGTTTGGTTGGCAGGTGTCTTTTCCTTGAGGCTAGACTCCAAGTTGCCTAGAGTCTAGGAAATACAGTGGATTGTACTGTTGCAAGCCTTGTCCCATCTCCAGCCTGAATGTTAACCATAGTCAGTTACTGCTCTGACATCCTTCCCGGGAACATGCACCACAGTCCATGGGCTTCATGGAGTAGAAGTGCCATCATCTTCCCTCACAATAACATCTAGAAGCCAAGCACCCTGGCTTGACAGCAGTAGAATGAGGAGTCCCAGAAAGATGAGGCCTTCACCTTGCCTCACTTGGACTATCTCTCTTCAGGAATATCCTGGTACACAGTGGCCACCACAGAGGGGTCTGTCACTGTCTCCCTTCAGCACACAGAATTGTCCCTTTGTGAGATCCATTCAGACACTACTGCTACTAGGAGAGATAAAAGTTACAGTTCAATGAGTTTTAAATTTTTATTACTGTTGGGTTTTGTGTTTGTTGGTTTTGGCTTATTTTGTTTTATCGTTAGAGTTTTTAAACTTTATTTTGAGGCTTGTTTTTTCAGTGTTGGGCCTGAACCAAGACTTTGAGCATCCTAGGCAAGCACTCTTAACAGGGTAGCCTGCTATGTCCCTAGCCTTCTGTTTTTGTTTTTTTTTTTTTTTTTTTTTCGTTTTAAGACAAGGTCTTGCTGTATAGCCCAGCTGGCCATGTGGGACAGGGTGGCTTTAAACCCACAAGCCATCCTCTTGCCTCAAGTGCTGGAAATATAGGTGAGTGCCAACAAGTTCAGCTAGATGTGTGAGTTTTGACATTTGTCAAGTCTATAGTCATAGAATTGCCACCGTAAACAAGACAGGGAACCAAATTGTCATGTTTCCCCTACCACCCCATCCCCTTTTGCACTCGTTCTTTGTCCTCTACAGCAGATATCATGATTTCTAATGTTTTGCCTATGCAAAAACAGAAACAGGAGCATAAAATGTGTATCCTTTTTTGGAGCTTCTTTCACATGGGACAATAACCTTGGAGTTCAGTGTGTGACTGTATATTTCTGATTCTTTCCTCTTCATTGTCAAGTACCCCGCATGGGCCTCTTATACTCTATCTGGACATCAGATGTTTTTCTGTTGGGCTCCTTGGTAGACAGCCAAGCTTCAGCAGAGCTAGACTGTGCTTTGTGTGCCTCTTGTCCCCAGCCTGCACAAGGCATCTAACAAAGGGTGATTCTGGGGCAGCCTCATGTAGATGATGAGGATACATCATCTCTGCCTCATCATCAGAAACAGTGCCTGCCTTCTGCCTGGATCTTGTCTGCAGAAACTAAGCCTAGACTCTGGCTGTCTCTAGGGCCATGGCAGTCTCTGCCCAATCACTGTGTTCATCAGGTGCCTGGGAGACACCCTGGGATGGGCATATAGGCTTCTCATCAACCAGTCTAGTATCCATACTAGCACTTGTTGGGATCCTTGAGGGAGGGGCTCTAGATCTCCTGGACCTTGACTCTCTGGAGCTGTTTGTCATGCATTAGTGGAGCTCTGGTCCAGCTGTGTGCCTACTGTCTCTTTCCTTCTAGGCCAGAGAAGCCCTCTGTTTCCATTGAGTCACAGCTGCACTGACTCATGAGTTAAATATAGACCCTAAGGATCTGTCTTGTGACAAGCCCACACTGACCTGGCTCATCTCTGGAATGCTTACATAAGTATTTGGAGTTGCCTGTGGCTAGGACCATTTCCCTTCCAGAATCTCCTTGTTCCATCTTGTGGAGCCAGCAGGGGGCAGTAGCAATGGACTGGTGAGAGCTGGCACCTGTTAGGAAGACTCAAGGTGGCATGTTGTAGGGAGACACTGAAGTCCAAGGTGGTTCCTAGGAGCCAGTAGAAGTGGCTGGTCATTTTCTGTAGTGATGACAGCATAGTCTTAAGGGTTCAGCAGACTTACTAGGAAAACCCCAGGTTTGAAATCACATAGACCAGTATTGAAACCACTTCTCCTTACTGGCCCTGGACCTTAGGTTGCAGAGTGTCATGTTGTCCTTCATAAATAGGAAAGGTGTTTACAGGATGATTAGGCAAAGTAAAAGTGTTCTGTGTGAAAACAGGCCCTCAGTAATCTGGCTGCTATTCCAATCTTTACAGCAGACATTGCACCTTTGCACAGGACACAGGGCACCTAAGAGGCAAATTAAAGCTTCTGGAAGGCTTTGGTGTCAGATCTCCTTTCCAAGAGCTCACCTCTCCTCACCTACTGTGTCCTTAAATCACATTAACAGCTGCCCAACTGGGGACTCTCCAGCAGGAGTGGACTGCACTTAAAATAGAAACTTGTCCCTGGGCTGGTAGGAGGGCTGCATGGGTGCTTAGTCAAGCACAGCGCAGCAGAGGCTCAAACTCCCTGACAATGAGTGAGCCACTTCCTGCTAGGTGGGCTAGGATGTCCACATCAGAAGCCCTAGGGTATGTATCCCTTGCCTCTTGCCCCCACCCCCACCCCAACCCCCCAGCACTGCCTGGCTAGAGGTTCCTGGCTGCCCTTAGAAGGAATTGTGGGAGAAATAGCTCTGGTCAAAGCAGGCTCCTCAGGGTTCAGGGGTGTCAGAATCTGGGATGAGCAGATCTGGTCTCTGTGAGAGGGCATGAGGGAGCTATTTAAGGCATTTATCAGGATGAAACACCATGAGGCAGTCCTGTCTAGGGCAGGATGGGAGGACCACTCAGAAAGAAACATCTGTGTTATTTGATTGATCTTAGTTCTTGTTAAGCTTGGAATCAGGTCATGGCATCTGAATACAAGTGTGTAAGAAGCAAACCTGAGAGTGCCTGCCCGCAAGACCCACACGGAAAGGTCAAGCCTCCCCTCTTAAGGGAGGATGCCAAGTGGTTCCTTGTGCCCAGAATGGAGGTCCTCTACACTCTTCAAACTGCCTAATCCCTGTGCAGGTGCCACCATGGAGTCTGACCACTGCTGACTGGCAGCTACCCAGCATTGAAGTGCTGTCCTCTCTCGGACCCACACAACCAAGAAAGGGAGACCCACCATGACTTCCAACAGCGCTGAGAGCCAGCTCCAGAGGATCATCCATGATCTGCAAGGTCTGGTTGGGTGGCTGGTGTGCTGGGCTTGGTTTTAAGGGACTTGGGGCTGTGCTCTGGCTATTGCCAGTCAAAATTCAGCCATTTCCTCTTTGTTCACTCCCAAAGTAATTGGAGCCTTCAGGATACATCATATTGAAATAGTTGGTTCTCAGATAGCCATCCTGGGCAACTGAAGAGCTTATTACCTCACACTCCTCTCAGAGCAACACAGCTAGTTTGTAAACAGAATCAGATATCACCTCAGGGACTAGGGCTGCTTTCAGTTGGTATGTGTACTTAAAGCTGCTTGGTCGTCCTTGGTGGAATTATCAACCTGTGTGCTTTGGTGAACTTGGCTGCTTGGGGAGGAACATTTTCCTCTCTAAGCAGGTCCTACTCCCAGCCACTGGGGACCCACGACCCCACACATTCCAGTCCCTGCCTGCCTGCCATCATGTGACTTCCTGAGGGAGCCAGTGGGATTTATTTGTAGCCCTTCCCCATTGGAGAAAGGCAAGGGCGGGCAAGCAGACAAGGCTGCAGCTAGGGCTTGACAGAGTAACAACTGGCTTCTCTGTGTTTTAGCCTTGCAGACGACATCCCGAGGTCCAGATTTTGGCAGGTTTTCACCTCCCATATTTGCCACCACACAAGCTGCACCTGGAGAGGCCATGGTGACACTTCTCCAACAACCTAGGGACCCAGGTTCCTGGCTGCTTAGGCTAGACACACAATCAAGAGATCTCATAGAAAGCTCCATTGGCCTGGGACAGCCTCAGTGCAGTTCAGGGTCCTTATCTGAGCCCCAAAGTCAACAAGGTCAAACCAATTTTTTAAGGCCTATGACCTCCTATTTATAATGCTTTGGAACCTCTGATAGCTAATGCATGTTAGGTGTCCATTATCTGAAATGTAAACAAGAAGTGTTTCAGATTTTGAATTTTTTGTGGATTTTGGAATATTTTTGGAATTTTGGAATACTTTCCTGGTTGAATATCCCTAATTTGAAAATCTGAAATCCAAAGTACACCAACATCCAAAGTTTTTTGAAGTTACACTTCCTGATGAATTGTGTGGCATTTCATGTGCACAAGGCACTGTTGTGCACACATCTTACAGATAGTCTTATGGAAGACTATGGAGTCTTCCCATTTGGGCCTATAAGGCAGATGCCATTGTCATTTTGCAGTTGAGGAAGCAGGCACAGTGAGGGTATCTAATTTACCTACCATCACAGAGCCAGTAAGGAACAGAGCTTGTGGTTATAAACCAATAACCTTGGCTTCCGACCACATAGGCTACTTTCAGCTAAGATGTTTAGTGCTTTAAAAAAGTCTATACAGAAATGCAGAGATATTTTCATTTACTTAATGACAGTCTGGACAAATCTGTGTTTTCCATTTACTTTAATAAGTTTCACCACATGATGAACAGTGTTGTCTATGTCACAATGGCTGGTTTTCAAAGAAAGTTTTAGGACCTAGAGATAATTTACTGGGAGGAAAGAGAGAAAGGATGGACCCTCAGGTCAAATTCTGACCTAGATCATTGTGTAACTCACTTACCTGCTGAGTCTGGTTATCTCTGACATCCTTCCGTGGTCTCAGTGTCCTGTACATGGCCCAGAGAGCACTTGGGGGCTCCATAAGGAGCACCATGGATGTCTTAATAAAGACACTTAATAAGACACTTAGGATGTCTTAATAAATACACAGCTCTCCAGCTTGTTCTGTGAGAGGTATACCATTCACTGAGGAACCTTTGTGCAGTGTACAGTTTTTACCCTAGCCCACACATCTCATCTTGCTGGCAGCAGCTACAAGGACTCTGGGGCGAGAGGGCATTCCAGGTCTGTCTTTTAACCCTGGAAAACACTGGCCAAGTCCCTTCACCTCTCTAATATGCTGTTGTCCCCCTTGTATCCCAGCTCCCTTTGTGTACCAGTTGGGTTTGATGACAGCATGTAGCTCCCAGGGCTGTTGGGAGACTCTACTGGGAGATTTCTGTGAAGCTAATATGGTTCATAAGTAATGCATTGGGTTATAGGAATAAGAGTGGAAACGTCATAGCCATCTAAAGGCTCCTTTTTGCAAAAAAGCATCTTCAGGAATCACCAGAATTGAGTCATTATCCAGCCTGAGGAGGAAGGCTGTGTGTCTTACCCAGTTCCCTGGTCCTCTGGCTCTCAGTGCCAGCTGCAGCAGACACTTGAGGAGGGGAAAACTGGACAGTGGTCATTTGTAATAGCCAGTCCCAGGAACCTGCCTTCCATTTGCTGACCTTTGCCTGAGGGGTCAGGGCACACTGACTTCTTAGCCAGCTCAAGCTCAGCTTCAGTCAAGGCAGGTCTGTTTCAAACCATAGTGTTCTGGAGGGAACAGAGGTTAGGCCTCCTCCTTTTCAAACACTCTCAGAGCAAAAGGTACATTTTCCCAGTACATCCCAGCCATTTGAATTGGGCACACATTTCCCCATCTAAGCCAAATGCACCATCTAACAGTGCCTCTGTCCCACCGTGCAGGCAGCACTGAGAGTCAAGGTGAGTTCCCTCTTTCCACACAGGGAGGCCACTTTCTATTCAATCTGAGAAGTGGGCTATAGAAAACCAGAGGTAGGCTCCTGTGAAAACCAGTGTTCTCCTTAAAGCTCTGCTATTTGCTAATGGGGTCTTAGGCCAAGCCTCTAGCCTCTATATCCCTCCTCTGTAAAATGGAGGTGGTAATAGGACACTTCATAGATTCCACGTTGTATTTAATTGTTTCACTTTTTCTCAGTGCTTAAATTAGTATGCATCTTAAATAGCATCTCAGATTTGTTGATATCAAACAAGAACTCTGTTCATGAAAACACGTTAAGACCTGGCCTCTCATAGCCACCCTGTTAACAGAAGATGTTATCATTGCTATTATCGATACTATTACTTGTACTCACTGGGTGCTTTGAAGCCTATGGTTAAGCTATGCTGACTAGTAGGGTCATAGTGAATGCCATGATTTGTGCTGGAAGTTTGGCTCTTACTGTCACAGTGTTGAAAGTAATGGGATCTCTAAGAGGTGGGGCCTGGTTAGAAGTGATTGGGTCATGACCACCCTGAAAAGGACTTAATGCTGGTCTCACAGAGCAGATTAGGTCTTCTAGGTGTGGATTGGTTCTTGTGGGAGCAGGCTAGAAAGACCTTTCCCTCACACCATTAGATACTAGAGGCCACCAGAGGGATTCCAAAATGGAGGCCATGCTCTTCACACCTTTCTCACTTAATATACCATTGCAGAGCAAAGATCACCTCATTTTTCAGCACATCTATGTGCAGTTCATCTTTGAGATAAATTCCAATTTCAGGGCTGTTAAAATTTGAAAGAAAGAAATATTTTACTTTATGAATACCCAGGTTCTGTGATAACAAAATAGCGAAGAGCAAGAAATGTCCAGGATAAAGCTTTCTGGAAGGCAGTATCGGGTCAAAGCAGTGGATTAATCCACATAACAAGTATTTTTTTACCATCTGTGCATACGCAGTGCTGTCCTGGTAGTAGACACACAGAGATGGAGATGAAATATGCCTAGTCAACAAGCTGTAGCAAAGGGCATTTTAGCTCTCCTATCTGGAGTTACAGCATTGGGGTGTTTACGTGCCTGGTGTGTTTCCAAGGTGGCCATCACTGACCACTTATTCTCATGCTTCCTGCTGTTAGTCCTGCTTCTCTCTCTGAATTTTCAGGGGTGTTAAAATGTGAAATAGACAAGTGTGTCTCTTTGGTCACATGTTCCTGTTTGTTGTCTTAAAGATGCAGTGACAGAATTAAGCAATGAATTTAAGGAAACAGGAGAACCCGTCACAGATGACAGCACCAGCCTGCACAAGTTTTCTTATAAACTTGAGTATCTCTTACAAGTAAGTGATGCCTGCTACATGTTGGTTTTGTCACTGTTGTCTGTTGTTCCCCACCTGGGTGACTTTTGTCAGCTTCCAGGATGTGGCTCAGAAAGCCCAATGGAGCATTAAGCCCTCATGGTAAAACTGAAGATCAGAGTAGTCCCCAAAAGTGCTTGGGTGTCCTGTGTAAGTCAGGATACTGCCTGAAGATGATTTGGAGAACTAAAAGCATTTCTTAGAGATTTGGCTCGTTAAGGCAAGTCATAGGACTGTTCAGAAAAGATCTTCTTAACTGTAGGGTAGTTACTTACCCCTTGAGAGAACACTGCGGTGTCTCTGCCTTAATAGCCATGCATATGCATATATGGCCCAGGCATAAAGACAGTTTCCATAGAAGATCATCTGAGGCCTGTTTCAGAAGCTTGCTCCTCAAGCATGATCTGAGACCAATTTATCACTAGGGGACTGGCTGGTACTGAGTCAGGATTCCTGGAGTTAGGCCAGTCAACTTTCTCTTAACATTTCATGGTGTAGCTCCTATGCCTGCTTAGCTTGAGCAGCACTGACTCAACTCCACTGATTTGGAAGCACATGCTTCCAATATGGGCAGGAAAGAAATGGCTCTGCAACTATTTCACTGCAGTGGTATTAGGAATTACTATTCTTCTGGTTTTTGTTGTTGTTGTTGTTGTTGTTGTTTTATATAGATTTAATAACATGTTTGTATCTTGCTTCCATAATCATGGGAAAATGCTATAAATGGTCTAGAAAGATAGCTGTTATACTTTACAGTATCACATCCCACCAAAGCAGCAGAGAGCTGCTGGGGGTGAGGATGGGCATGTAGGGCTTACCGTGCCTTCAGCCACTTCTTTGTTTGGCACTAAATGGTTATGACTTTTTCCGCTTTCCCAGATCCCATTTTGGTTTTGAATTTGAAATGACTCAGAGCTGACATTTATTTGAATTTTTACATTTATTTTAAGATAGTATTGACACTTGAGAATTGAGTAATGGATAACATGTTATTGTCTCATTTCCCTAAGTTAGAGCTTAGTTAACGCTCTGCATATTAATTTAAGACTCCTCACTTGAATTTCCTTATCACATTAGAGATTCTCCACAAAATTCTACTTGTAAAAGCCCCTTCAGAGGATCAATCTTTTTTCTTTTCTTTGTTTTCTTCCTTTCTTCCCTTTTCCTTTCTTTCTCCTTTCTTTTATCCCTCCCTTCTTTCTTTTTCTGTTCCCTATCAGTCAGTCAGTCATCTATCTTGCTGTGCTGGGACTTAAACCCAGGGCTTTGTGCATGCTAGGCAATCATCAAGAAATACGTCTTTGGGGGCAGCTTTTGTTCCTAAATCTGACTGGTCAAAAGACCTTGAGCTAGTGTCTTCTAGTTGCAGTTTCTACATTTAAAAATTGCAAATTAAAAACACCCTTGTTTTGTGATTTAACATTCTGATTTTCCATTAAATCAACTAATACCAACAAAGGGCCTCCCCCAGTGCCAGTCCCTAGAAAACTAGTGTTAACGTTTATCATGTTAGTAGTGCATGAACTACAGTGGGCTCAGATCTCCTCTCTGTCCCTTTCCCTGTCCAGTTCGATCAGAAGGAGAAGGCTAGCCTCCTGGGCAGCAAGAAGGATTACTGGGATTACTTCTGTGCCTGCCTGACCAAAGTGAAGGGAGCAAACGATGGAATCCGATTCGTCAAGTCCATCTCCGAGGTAAGCCGAACCATGCAGGGCAGGACCACCTGCCTCCTGGCCTGCCTAAAGCATTCTGGGGACACTTCTGCTGCAGGCAGTCAGGTATGGCATGAATTCTATGGGTGACCAAAAAGCCAAGACATCCTGTCCAGCAGAGTGGGTACCACTGTTACTGTGACTCAAGCTCAAGGAAACCACCTGAATGCTGACCAAGTACAGGAGGGTTGGGTCCTAAGTGGCACTTCCCAGCTGGGCTGTCCACACTGTCAGTCTCTGTTCATGGCATCTGTGAAAGTGTACAATACAAGGCAGCACTCCCTTTTTTGAAAAAAAATTTTTTTTAAGGTTGCTAGGTGCCAGCAAGATGGCTCAACAAGTAATCTCAATGACCTGTTTGACCCCAGAATCCACAGGATAGAAGGAAAAAACAGACTCCTGTAGGTTGTCCTGACCTCCACACATGTACCATGACACATGCATGCCCTGGTTGTGTGCTTGCATGCACACATACAATTAATTATTTAATTAATATAAAAAGGATTTGAAAGGATACTTTCCCAGCAGTTTCCTCAGGAAACTTAGATTTGATGTTAGGGAATAATGTGAAATCTCAAGGTCATTTCTTACCATACAGGGCAGCTAAGCACCTTCCCTCCACATTTGGTTGGGCCCTTTAGAGAGGGCCAGGTGCCCTGTGCCCTGGCTTTGTCTTTTACAAACACCAGAGAAATGCACACACCCCTTTTTATGTGAATTCTAATTTGCAAACATGTCTCAAGTGTTTTCTGTGGCAATTCCTTTTGATTCATTTGTCTTGGCAGCTGTGCAGGGCCCTGGCTTGCAGCCTCACGGTAGGGTCTGCCCGGCAATCATGTGACTAAAACCTCAGATGGTTCCCTTCACGCTTCTTTCCCAGCTCCATCCCCAGTGACTCCTCTCTCATTAGTTGTCTACCCAGGAGTGAAGCACATCTATATGGAGCAAGTGAACCCTGAGATTTGTAGGAAAAGGTTGGGGGAAAAAGGCGCATCAAAGTGTGAAGTCGCTTTGAAATCAGCCTCAGAGGCCACAGTGTTGGGTATTCTGGAAAGGACACCCCCCACCACCACCTCCTGTTTCTTCTTATAGATGATGACAGTATTAAGCACACTGACATCAAAGGCTCGACATTTTCCACCAGCCTCACCATCTCTGGGCAAATGATTCCGGAAAGGTCCTGGCTCTCAAGAATTTGTCTTGTATGTGTCTTTAATGTGTAGTGTGGTATGGGCTGGTCTTGTGAGGTTGGTGAGAGACTTAAGTGTACAACATAGCAGTGTTTAATGCATCAGGAAACTGGAGAGGTTCCCACGTTCACTCTCCTCTCCCACTCCTCACCCATTACATCAGATCACTGAAGCCTTCGACTATACAACTTCAAACAGCTAGAGTCTGGAAGTAGTCTTCACTCTCGTTCTCCTGGGCCATATGGTGTTTCCTGAAACAGTCTACTTTTTAGCTCGTTTCCTTGCCTCATAATGCATTTAGACCCTTTGAGGCCATGCAGACAGTCTGTAGAAGCTAAGGGAGCTGTGTGCTCACTCCTGACTTGCTCATACAGGTTTTGGTGGCTGCTGTAGGCTATTTTCCACAGGGCCATTGTTTGGCTGTGGTTGAAGACTTTGCTATCTGTCTTGGAACATCACTAGTGGGGGTGCTGTTGAAAACTTGGTTACCTCAGTCGTCAGATTCCAAGTCTTCAAGTGTGACTAGAAGTTTATGGGTCAGAAACATTTATAGGCCTCCTCAGGCTGTTTGGGGCAGGAAATAGCTGTTTGGGCTCACATAAGTGAAAATTCTAGTAAGCTACTTCCAGAACTAATAGTGTGCCCTTCTGGGACTGTTTCCCTGCAATGTGTGGAGGTCACCTCTGCATCAGAGTCATGGCACAGTGGTCTGGTTTAAAGCAGAATCAGTTGGTGTTCCCTGCTGGTCTCCCACCCTGTGTTGCTGTTGTCTCCTCAGCATGGCACGTATGGATTCTGATTAGATGCTAAGAAAACTAAAAAACTGAGTGACTAGTGGACCCATGATTTAAAAATAAAAAGGCTGAGGCTGGAGAGATGGCTCAGCGGTTAAGAGCACTGGCTGTTTTTGCAGAGGACCCAGGTTTGAATCCTAGCACCCACTCTCTGTAACTCCAGTTCTAGGAGATTTGACACTCTCTTCTGACCTGCATGGGCATAGCACAACATGGGTGTGCCTACATAC